TGTATTATAACCACAATCTGTCACCAGTGGCTCTTTGTATTAATTTATCCTTCATTTACCTGTACCTCTCTTGTAACCTTGGACATCTGTTGAACATCTCTTTACTACAATTTCTTGTACTTATCAGTCGATACATACTGGCTGAGTGAATGGCCTCTCAAATAGAGCTTAACAATCGTATACCTCAAAAAGGACAATCTAATCATTCTTTTTCTGTTAAACTTCTCTATCACAGTGGACAGTTTGACAGGTGTTACTAGATTATTTTTACAGTGTGATAGTAGAGTCTTTACTTAAAGCCGTGGCTCTCAACCTGGGTGTCGGGACCCCCAAGAGGGTCGCTAGATAATTTCCGGATGTCGCCAAATGGTTGTGGAGAGTAAAATAAATATAAAATAATCTCAGCAATGTCAGCCCTTTAATGACATTTAACGCACGGATTAAGAACTTAAAAACACTATATACTATAGGATAAACTCTGTTTTTATACATATTAACAGGCTGATTATTCACTAATAAAAACATACCTATAATATCATTTTCCATTTCTGATCCTCCTAAATACACACTGGACCTTTAAAATAAAGGATCTGAATATTTTCTCCACCACTGTTATTAAGCAACTATAACCTTGTTAACTCAGTCACTGGTAAAAAAATTAATGACAATATCTTTAAATTGAGGGCATGAATATAATAGCCGTAGTAGCAACAACAATTATACCTGTAATGCAATAATAACATTAAGTTATTTGTTTGGTCCAGAGGGACAGAGACGTCAGAGGAGCCACTTCAGCCACTGTGAGTGTGCTTGTCACAGCTAATCTTTAGTGCTTTTGCAGCTTTTTAAAAAGAAATCTGCTTTTACTTTTCGTACTAAATGATCTTATAAAAGACGTCACCAGTGACCGCACCCAACCTCAGAGTTCAGAGAGTGTACATCTTTTCCCTGTATTCAAAATGAATTTCATGTTACGAACATGGATCATGCAAATTTGACAGCCAACGTGCCGACTAAACAGTTTGTTCTCCTTTTAATCAGACTGGTGTCCTCCTCCTCCTCCTCCTCCTCCTCCTCATCCTCCTCCTCATCCTCCTCCTCTTCCTCCTCCCTGTCCTCTGCCTGCTGCAGGGTGATGCTAGCGTAGCGACAGCTAGCTGACAAGATAAACATCAGGTCTAACTGGCAACAGTGAATCAACAGACGAACCCTCCTCCCCCTCCATTGCACAATCAATACTGTTGATGCAGAGCAACGCTGATGAAAACGGACACACACACACACACACACACACACACAGGTCTGCAGGGAGAAGTTAATTCGGGCATCTGGTGAATAACAGTTACGTGACATGTGTGGCATTTACTGAGATGGAACAATATGTCTGTGATGAAAAGCTGAATGGAGTCGGCTGCTAGTCTGTGAAAGGAGGCAGAGGTAGCTGCTAATAAAGGCTGTGGTGATAAGATGTGGTGTTGTGTTGTGCAGCCTACAGAAGAAGGGCAGGGAGAGTGTTTGTTCGTTCGTGTTTTGCCTGTTTTCCTGTCTGTTTACAATCAATCAATCATTTTCATTGACTCACTTTCCATGGTTCCTTCAGCATACCCAATTTCTTCCTCCTCTTCAACCTGGAAAGAAAGACAGAGATTCAGGTCAACATTTGTTGTCTTCCTTTTCAATTTGTTCTGTCATCCATCTGCTTTTTTCCCACAATGGATGCCCATTCAAAGCATTATTTGAACAAGAGGTTGATATAAAGAAAAAATGCTACATTCAATTGATAAATATTATACATATAAGCTATTTTAATAATCGATAAACCAGATTTTCTTTGTCTCTTGGGATTTTGAACTGTTGGTCTGACAGAACAAATCATTTTTCAGTATTGTGTAATATTTCATAGACACAATGAATAATCAAAAAAATAACTGTCAGCTTATATAAATAACAACATTAATCGAGAGCTGCAGCTCACCCAAACATTATATGTAATAACTGTTCAGATGAACATGTAGCAGAGCTGAGACGCTGTGGCTTCTTAAAGTGGCAGCGCTCACAGTGTTTCTTTTTTTAAACATCTTTTTGTTACATTTTTAAAATATTCTGCTATACATCACACAAGATCCCATTCCCCAAATCCATCGCACCACCCAGTCCTACTGACAGTCCTATCCAGCAGGTTACATCTGACTAAAATAAGGAAAGGAAATGGCACAAATATGCATAGTAGAGAAGAAGAGAAAACAAACAAGCAAAAAACTAAGAAAAAAATACAGCGTGCTTGTATTCCGAGACAGAGAGACCGCTATGAGTCATTCCAGTTTGTTATCCCAGTAGTGAAATAAGATGTAAATGGGGTCCACGTTTTACTGAACTCTGCCTTCCTACCCCTGAGGGTAAGTTTGATCTTTTCTGGTTTTAGATGGAACATAACATCCTTCAGCCATCTAGCATGAGAGGGTTTAGGATCTTTCCAATTTAACAGGATAAGATGGCACCAAGTAAAAGCTCACAGTGCTTCTGCTTCTCAGTCAGTCGGTTTCCAAAATGACTGACGATCTCCTCACTGCTGTATGTCCTTGTCTTCACTCCCTCCACAACATTGTTAACAAACCACAAATAACAAGCCATATTTTTTTTTTGCCCTTTTGCCCTTTTGCCCTTTTGTTTTTATTCTTGAGAAATTGTCAAACTTGCATTAATGTGATTGTTTATTTGTATAGGGAGACGTGTGCAGCATGAACAAATGCCACACACCACAACATTTATAGACTGAGCTAATTTGCAATGCCCGTCCCCAGATAGGCCTTTAAGATACATACATAGACAGTACAAAACACAAAATTAACCATACGTATGTGCATTAAAAACATAGGACTCAACCAGAAATGCAGAGAGAACAATACAAGATACAAACTAATATAATAAAGCACCATAAAACAGGACTGACTCCAGGTTTACTTAATCTAAGAATAATCTATGAACAAAACTAAGACTAGACTAACACTATAGACCCCTGACTTTGTGCATAGGGGGGGCATTGTCATGTTAAAACA